TCGTCCCGCCGCTCCCCGCGCCTCCCGCGGCCTCGGGTCGGCGCGCAGCCGGACGCCGGGGGATCGCGGCGAAGGGACCGGCCATCGCCGCCGCCCCGGTCCCCCATATCCCTACCCGTCGCAGGAGAAGCGATGAAGCGGAGGGCGAACCGGTGGCAGGGTTGGGGATGCAGGGATGGGGACGTGGAGGGGACAGGGGGGGATGCTCTTTAATTTCTGAGTGGCACCATGTAAATAGGGTTGCACAGAGCCAGCAGCCGGTGGGCGGCAGCGTGAGGTGGGGACGAGGATGCGCGGGGGGGGGGGACAAGGACAGTCAGGATGGACAAGGACACTTGGGAGGGACAAGGATGCTCGGGAGGGATGAGAACCCTGGGGACAAGGACAGTTGGGAGGGATAAGGATGCTTGAGGAAGGATGAAGATGTTTTGGGAGGCCAAGGACAGTCACTAGGGACAAGGACGCTGGGGAGGGACGAGGACGCTGGGGAGGGATGCAGAGGATGCTCAGGTGGGGTGAGGACCCTGGGGACAAGGGCAGTTGGGAGGAATGAGGATGCTGGGGAGGGACAAGGATGGCCAGGAGGGATGAGGATGGTTGGAAGGGATGAGGATGGTTGGAAGGGATGAGGACAGTTTTGGGGGATGAGCATACGTGGGAGGGATAAGGACAAGGACACTGTGGAGGGATGAGGGTGCTGGGGAGGGACAAGGAACGTTGGGGGACAAGGATGCTTGGGGGAATGAGGACACTGGGGAAGGACGATGATGCCCAGGGGTTGAGGATTGCTGGGGGGAAGAGGACACTTGGGAAAGACAAGGTTGCTTGGGAGGGACAAGGACAGTAGGGAGGGACAAGGAGGACAGTTGCAGGGGGATGAGGAAGGTGGGGAGGGATGAGGAGACTTGGGGAGGGAGAGGACAGTTGGGAAAGGATAAGGATGCTCAGGAAGGATAAAGATCCTGGGGATGAGGATGGTTAGGAGGGGCGAGGACACTCGGAAGGGGCACAAGGACATTCAGGAAGGACAAGGTGGCTTGGGAGGGATGAGGACACTTGGGAGGGCCAAGGAGGGTCGAGGTGGGACAAGGATGCTGAGGAAGGACATGGCCGGTCAGGAAGGACAAGGGCAGTCAGAAGGAATGGGAATGGTCAACGGGGATGGGGACGGCTGGGGGGACAATGTACCTGGGGACGGACAAGGACACTTGGGGTGGACAACAGTGCTCGGGCTGGATGAGGATGGTTGGGGGACAAGGATGCCGGGGAAGGAGGACACTGGGGAGGGACGAGGACACTTGGGATGAGTACACTTGGGGAGGATGAGTATGCTTGGGGAGGATGAGGATGCTGGGGAGGGATGAGGAATTTGGGGAGGGGTGGGGACACTGAGGAGGGATGGGGACACTTGGGGAGGAGCAAGGATGCTGGAGAAGGAGGGCCACCCACCCCGCCTTGGTGCCACCCACCCTTTGTGGGTGGCTTTTGCTAGCAAAGAGCCCCTCTTTGGGGAGCTGCTTAATAAAGCTGGATTTTAGCTGAGCCGAGGGGACTCTGGCCTTGCCGTGTCCTACACCCTGGGGACCGCCACACTCCTGTCCCTCCTGTCCTTGGCTCGCCACCCACCCTGGCCCAGGGGCTGCCACTCCCTGTCCCGCAGCCACCTGGAAAGAAAAGGGGATATTTTCCAGCACCCCGCAACGGGTGACATCCCGCACCACCCCCGGTGCCATCACCCCGGCATCGGGGCACCGCTCACCGTGCTGCGGGATGCCTGTGGCCGCCTCCGTCCCAGCTCTTCGCGGGACTCCCAGTGCTGTCCCCCAGTCCCAAGTGAAGATGGGGATGCCGGGCGAGATGACCCTCTCCAAGGGTGATGGCGGTGGTGAGGGACCTGCCGGGGGCAAGGCAGGAGATGGTGGTGTCACCATGGTGTCACGATGGGGCCATGTCCCCCGGGGAGGTGACGATGCATGGGGTCAGAGGGGGTGTCCGCGGACACGTCACTCACCCCCGTAGCCCCCATCGGTGTCCTCGAGGCTGAAGCAGAGGCCATCGACAGCCACGGCCAGCGCCCGGGCAAAGCTGGCATCCAGGAGGAAGGAGCCATCGCAGGAGCTCACCAAGCTGCAGCGGGCGCTGGCGAAGTTGTCCTCTGAGACAGACCCCCAGCCGTTCAGCAGCGATCCCCCCGGTGAGCCCCTTGTCGTTGGCCGCTCTGCCTCCTCCTCTTCCTCCTCCTCCTCCTCCTCGCCCAGCTCAGAGGCTGGTGGCCCATAGATGTAGCCATATGTGTGTGGCGGTGAGAAGGACCGTGGCGTGGCCGGCGCCGGGGGGCTGTGGGAGACATGGCAGGGGCGTTGCTGGCATGGGGGGATGCAGCCACCATGGTGGTGTCCCGGGGGATGGGGCGTACCTGGGGCAGGCGGTGCCCTGGTCCATCTCCAGGTCCTCGGCCACCTGCTGCGGCGTGAGGACCCCATCGCTGAATGATGGCGAGAGGCGTCCGGTGACCGGGGACCTGTCCCTTCGGTACCTGGTGGCTGGGGACGTGTCCTTGGGGTACCTGGCGGACAGAAACATGTCCCTTGGGTGCCTGGTCGCCAGTGATGGGTCTCTGGGGTGCCTGGTGGCTGGGGACGTGTCCTTGGGGTACCTGTTGCCCAAGAACATGTCCCTCCGGTGACCAGTGACTGGGGACGTCTCTTCAGGGTGCCTGGTGACTGGGGATGTGTCCCTTGGGTGCCCGGTGGCTGGGGATGTGTCCCTCGGGTGCCTGGTGGCTGCTAACATGTCCTCAGGGTACCTGGTGATCAGGAACATGTCCCTTGGGTGCCTGGTCACCGGTGATGGGTCCCTGGGGCACCTGGTGTCTGGGGACACGTCCTTGGGGTACCTGGTGACCAAGAACGTGTCCTTGCAGTGACCGGTGACTGGGGACATATCCTCAGGGTGCCTGGTGATGGGGGACGTGTCCCTGGGGTACCTGGTGTCTGGGGACGTGTCCTTTGGATACCTGGTGGCTGGTGACGTGTCCTTTGGGTATCTGGTGGCCAGAAATGTGTCCCTTGGGTGCCTGGTATGCCTCTGATGGGTCCCTGGGGCACTTGGTGGTCAGGGACATGTTGGGGTACCTGGTGGCCAGGAATGTGTCCCTGCGGTGCCCGGTGGCTGGGGACTTCTCCTTGGGGAGCTTAGTGACGGGGGACGTGTCCCTTGGGTGCCCACTGGCTGGGGACGTGTTCTTGGGGTGCCTGGTGGCCGGTGACATGTCCCTCTGGTGTTTGGTCACCGGTGATGGGTCCCTGGGGTGGCTGGTGGCTGGGGACATGTCCTTGGGGTACCTGCTGCCCAGGAACCTGTCCCTGTGGGGACTGGGGACTGGGGACATCTCCTTGGGGTGCCTGGTGATCGGGGACACGTCCCTGGGGCACCTGGTGACCAGGAACGTGTCCTCAGGGTGCCTGGAGGCTGAGATTGTGTCCCTCTGGTGCCCGGTGGCTGGTGATGGGTTCTTGGGGTGCCTGGTGGCCAGGAACATGTCCTTGGGGTGCTCAGTGACCAGGGACATGTCCCTGGGGCGCCCGGTGACCGGTGACACATCCCTGGGGCTCTCAGTGACCACAGATGTGTCCCTGGGGCGCCGGGTGGCCGGAGATGTGTCCCTGGGAATCCCAGTGACCAAGGACATGTCCTTGGGGTGCCTGGTGACCGGGGACGTGTCCCTGGGGATCCCAGTGACTGGAGACATGTCCCTGGGGTGCCTGGTGACCGGGGACATGTCCCTGGGGCACGCGGTGGCCGGGGACCTGCAGGTGCAAGGGACACGGTGGCTTTTGCAGCACGGGGTTGGGGTGCGGGGCACCCATCTTTGTTCCAAGGGTGGGGGACACCCAGACTTACCGGGTCACCGGCGGGTGCCAGGCATGGGGTGGCCTCGGGGGTGTCACCGGTGACCCGGTGACACCAGAGGCCAGCGAGGCACTGCCCCGCCGCGGTTTTGGGGAGCTGAAGACCGGCACCTGCTGCGGGCCCCCTCCGGCCAGCACGGCGGTGTCGGTGTCACCATCGTGTCCCCTTCGCTGAGGCCACCCGGCTGCCAGCCCAAAATCCGTCCCCCACTCACCTCCACTCCCGGTGACGGGGACATGGCCGGGGCCACCCGTGAGCACCGGGGTGCTGTGCACTTGGTGCAGCTCTGCATGGGGTGGGGGGACACAGAGCCATGAGCCACCTCCCCGGCGTCCCCCGTGTCCCCCCGTGTCCTCCCCACACCCACCTCTCTTGCGGATGCGCTCCCAGGGTGCCGGGTTCGGGGTGCTGGGCGAGGTGCGCACCCCGGGGTGCCCCCCGCCGCGGCACCCGCTGTCCCCAAGGGGCAGGGGATGCCCCCCGCGGAGGCTGCTGCGGTTGGGGGGCGTGGGGGGGCCGAGGCTCGGCGGCTCCAAGGACGGCTGGAGGGGTTAGAGAGGTCAGGGCACCCATGGGTGCTGAGCCGGGTGTCCCTTGTCCCCTCTGTCCTTGGCTCTGTCTCTCCCCAGGTCCCTGCTGCCTGCAGAGAGGGTCCCACGGCAATGGGGGGCACCCAGGTGGGGGTCCCAGGCATAGGGTGGGTTATCGGGCACCCTTTGCGCGTCCCATAGCACTCTGGGGGGATCCCAGGCACTGGGGGGGGGTCCCAGGG